ATATATATATATATATATATATATATATATATATATATATGTATAGGATTTTATCACATGTATTGATTTTTTTTATACCACTGAGGTGGCAAACATGCATACGGCCCACCTGATGGTAAGCGGTTACCGTAGCCTATGAACGCCTGCAATACCAGAGGTATTACGCGCGCGTTGCCGACCCTGAAGAAACCTCTTTACCCCCCATTTGATTTGTGATTTGATTGATGATTGATACTGATTGATTCTTATTCGAATATGTTTAGGATTAAACTAAATACATATTTACCTAGTTGAATAGATTTTAATTTAGGAAACAAGTTAATAGTTATGTTGTGTAATCTCTTAATGTACCATTTTGATTAATAAACGAAGCTAGAGATGAACTCAGCGGTTCAGGTTTCTCTTGGGAGCGCAAAAATACGATAAGCTTTTTATTATAGTAAACAATTGTTAGTGATATATTAAATTGAAGATTTCATCAACATATATTTATATAATAATAATGATCACATTTTGAAATGATGATTGATGACCAGAATGTGATTAATAGGAGTGGGGGGGGGGGGGGAATTGTTAGTAATGTGGACTAATGGTCCTATTATTAGCAATGTACCCTGTCAGGTCGACCTCCACGTGGTCCTCCTTGGAAACCATCGTGCTGAATTCCAAGTGTATTCATCACGATGGGCTGACTGATCTGTCTTTTCATCTTACCTATTAGGGGGGAGAAGGGATTGTTAGGTCGACCTCCTCGTGGTTCCCCCTGGAAACCATTGTGATTGATTTATTGTTAGATTCGTCACGATGGGCTAACTGACCTGCTTCATCCTCACCTATCATCGCTCACTGGTGCCCCACCGGTGTATACCGATAGCGCAGGCGGGATTACCATTCCATTATCACCCATTAAAAAAATTCACCTATCATGCCTCACTGGTGCCCCGCCAGCGTATACCGTTAGTACAGACGGGGTTATCATTCCATTATCTTCTACTAAGATATCATGATGATGGATCGGGCACTCTCGAGGATGTTTTTGGCAGGTGTCATCTTATCGCATGATAAGAACCTCATGAAAGTCGAAACCGAGAAAAAGAGAAAATATCTGGTCTTGGCTCACAAGGTGACCAAAATGTGGGAGGTGGCGTCCACCAAAATCATCCCATTCATTTTGTCAGTGAACGGTATTATTCCAAACAGTCTAGAACAATATCTCAGACGAGAGACGACTGGAGTTTGACAGCCCCATTGCTAGCAATATACCTTATTAGGTCGACCTCCACATGGTTCCCCCTAGAAACCATCATGAACAATTCCTGTTGAATTTGTCACGACGGGCTAACTGACCTACTTCATTCTCACCTATCATTCTTCACGGGTGCCCCGCCGGTGTATACCGATAGCGTGGGTGGGGTTACCATTCCATTATCATCCATTTAAAAAAAAAAAATTTTAGACGGTTGGGGTTCCAAGGTAGCTCACTGCAGGGATAGACGAACAAAATTGTTATTAAATTACTATACTTATATTATTCTCATTATCATGTATAATATAATATATTTTATATATGTATAAATATATTTGTTATTTATATATATTTATTCGTTTATATATGTAATTTTAGTACGTATATATATAAATAATTACTAGTAAATAGATATAGTTTAGGATTACAAATTAAGCCACTACACTAGTAGATTGTCACAAATAGTAACAAGATTAAAGAAAGCACACGAAACAACATAAACAGGAATTAAAAAAAAAAATTAATGAAGTACAAAGTAAAAAAAAAAAAATCATAGATAATCAACTTTTATGAGATCAAGTTTTTTTTTTTTAAATGAGTGAAGATACAATGACAATCTCGCCTGCGCTAATGCGCTAAATAGTTACATAAAAATATCTATAAACTGCAGAAATGTTAAGATATATTGGAATTTTTATTATTAATTTTTCCCCCATATTTTAACTAATAAATGGGGTTTAACTGCCTCTTTGCTAGCACTACAGGGTATGTTGCTAGCAAAGGTCAACCTGTGGTTATTCTTGAAATCCATCGTGGTTAAATCTAGTGGATTTCATCACGATGGACTAACCTGCTTTCATCGTACCTATCATCCCTCATTGGTGCCCCGTTAGCGTATACTGATAGCGCAGGCGAAGTTACTATTTCATTATCACCCATTCAAGACCTATCATCTCTCACTGGTATACCACCAGCGAATATCGACAGCGCAGGTGGGGTTACCATTCCATTATCACCTATTAAAAAAAAAATAGTAACACAGTTTTTAGGTACAGAGTATAATATTCCTTCTTTCCTATACTGATATTATAAATGTGAATGTTTATAAAGATGGTTGTGTGTTACTTAAAGCATTGTACGGATTTAAAAAAAATGGTAGACGAATTTATATTCTATCAACACACATTTAAGAATAATATTAACATTGGACCTCAATAAGGCGGATTGGCAACCGCACTTTGGAGATTGATATTTTTTTTATTTAAATTCGACTTCCTCGTCTTCCCTTAGTGGCTTCGTAGGATGCATACGAGAAAAGAGGAAGTAACCTACTACATATCGGAACCACACGTCAAAAATTGCTAATTAAATTCAGTTTTATAATTACGCGAAATTATTGGTTTATGAATCATCATAAAATAAATTTATAATAATTTTGACTTAAATCTGTTAGTAAATTACTTCACATTGATATTTAAAGTGTTCGTTATAATAACAAATTGAAATTTTAATTTTAGAGTAATCTCTAAACTAATGTTTAGAATAATGTCATATGACGTTGCGTTTGAAATACACGTAGCGCTTATAGTGGGTTTAAAATGACCACTGTAGTCATGACATGACTCTGGTATTTGCGATTTACCTAATGGAAAATTGTCATAGCGAATACAGACAACCGTTACCGTTAACTGTCCACTGCAGAACATCCCCCACCCTAACCCCATAAGGGAGGTTTTGCCAGTAGTTGCCACGCTTGACAGGAGGCTTTAAAAACCAACTGAATTTTTATTGACATCATAATGACATAAAAATGTGACTGAACTGAATCGAGTAGAACAAAAAAAAAATGTATAGAGAAGGAAATTTTTGGCAATCTCTTTCTATGAGTCATCTTATGCAAACGGTTTGAGTACTTATTTTAAGCACGTACTTTTTTATGATGGATATTTGAAAATCTCAATACTACATAGGTATCAATTTTACTTGACCGTTTATTACTAGCTAATATTACTATCCTTAATCTATGGATTTTTGAATCAATCAATTGAACAATTTCAAAATAATTTATACCTCCGGTTTTTGCCTTGTCTATGACTATTTATTCTCTTATAATTAACGTATTTTGGAGACAGAAGCATATATTAAAAATTATTTAAATTGTATTTTAGTAAATATGACATTTAGAATATTTTAAAACATCGAAAACTATTACAATTCTCTGCCCCCTTATCGACTAACGTAAAAAATCTTAAATTATTTAAAGGAAATCTTAAGAAAAATAATTTTTCGCAGGTTATTTGAATTTATTGAATTTATGACAGAAATGTAACAAAACTTTATTTTAAATATTTTTTATAACTTTATATTACTAATTTTATCAACTTAATAAAATTATAATTAGACAATGTTTGTACATGGAAGATATCTAAAAATAAAAGCAATAAAGGTCAATATAATTTTTAGAAATTTTGTCTGTTTGTCTGACCATGCGTCCATCCATCCGTATGTCTGTATGCCTGCATGTCTGTGAGTCTGTATTTTTGTTCTGGAAATACGCAAAAACTACTGCATCAATTCGGATGCTGTTTTGTTGATAAGATTTTAAGTTACACCTTCAGAAACACAAATGTGTTTAATGTATGTTTTTTCTTAATATGATATCTAGAAGTGGTATATGCCATTGCATTTCCCATTATTAAAATTTATGCGTACAAAGAATTACATTTCTTTCTTGAATAAAATAAAACAATAATCATGAAAAAGTACACAAAGTCACAAAACCGAAATAAAAATTATAATTTTATGTAAACTTTTGACCTATATTTTCTTCTATTTACATTGTTTTTATGTATTTTTACATTATTTATATATTTTTTTCTATAATATTTGTTTTTAAATGTAGTCACATAAGTTTAATAAGGAGTTTCTGTATTTTTAAGAAAATAACCAGATTTTTGTATTAATCAGCAATTACAATAATGTCCAGTTTGAAAAATAAAAAAAATTACGGAATGTTACACTTTTTTTAAATTGTCCAATTGGCTATGGCGGATAAAAATAAGGAAAATGGGGAAATAGTAGGAAAGAGGGTATGTCTATATTTAGTAGTTGTTGATGAAATGAGTTGGAAAGTTTGATGTCGTTATTTATTATTTAAGGCCCAATTAAAAAGTTTAAAAAGAATGATATACCTTTCATTAAATATCATATCATTGTTTTTGTTTTGTAAAGTGCAATATTAAAAATGGGGAAATTATGCTTTTGGAAAAATAAGGAAACAAAATTCTTGTTTTCCAATGCATCCAATGCATTCAATAAAGGGCATCCCTTTCAAGTTAGCGTTCGCGCAGAAATGATTCTCTTTACTTCAACTCTTTATTATATTTGCTATTTTTTCGTAATTGACACTCGGTCTTGTATTATTGTATATTCTTATCTAAGAACAAGGAATTACAATTTTTTTTATTTATATACTCGATTATATCTAATAGTATTCTTTAACGCGCAAAATAAGGTAATAAGACCTAGATAGAGACAAGTCTATCTTCATTGTTTTTTAATTACTAGATACTCTTTAATTTATACTTTCACTTCCCAAAACATGTCAAAATTATGTTATATTTAATTAAATTTATATATTGTAAAAATACAAAAAAGTGAAATTACTTAATCTATCGATATCATACTAAACTGTAGGAGAAAAATTATCTGATAAAATGGCAACACTGTAAAAGACAGCAATGCACTTATCCACAGATACAATTAGGTACAAAGAATACTTGAATACAGGTAGTTCGGCGAGTCAAATTTCATTTCCATCGTCCGCGCGGTGGACATTCGTCGTGTAAAAGTTAATGAGTTCGGTTACATTGTTATTTGTGCATAAACAGCAGTGATCTCAGACCAAACAAAGTTGTGAACTCAGTGGTTACCGCGAAACAAAATTATCGCGGCATCCGGCTAGTCGCCGACAGTTCGCGTAGACGCTTTACTATGAAATGATATAGTTTTGTAATTGCAATGAATGACGACAAAATGAGTTCAAACAGCGTTGAAGCAGAATATATGGATATCGCCAACAGGAACGCATGGCCTATTATCTATCAGGTTGGTTTTGCGTAGGTGTGACGGCAGTTTTAATGCCACGCAATTTAATCCGTTCTATGTTATTGAAAAAAAAAAAAAACTGTTTCTAGGAAGCAAGCGCACGACCTAGACCCATTTTATCGGCACGTACTCTATGTTGATAGTACTGATTGAAAATTAAATTCTGTTGATTACATTTATACGTAAACAAACCCATGTTCTTTTGCTAAGTAATGTCAAATTTATATTATTTGAAGCTTTTAAAGTAGCGTCGCTATAGTAGACTATCATTATTGACGCTGTATTAACTTGTATATAATATATTTATATACACACCCATATTTTCATTGATGTTTGTAGATAGATATCTACCATGTTTTTTCACTTGTTATAAAGCTTTGTGTTATACGTAAATAAAACATTTTGCATGATAAAAATTGTTGTGAAAAGTATGTACTATATACTGTATGTACTATATATATACTGTTCTTCCCAGTACCAGTGTAAAATAAGAAAAAAATGTAATTAAACTATACACAGCCACCTGACCAGTTATGGGAATTTTGATTTAATTTTCTTCTTATATGGGATATAAGTTGTGTTTAACCACCAGAATAGTGGATAATTTATAGATGTAATGAGTTAAAATTATTAATTTCATGAATTAACAGTATTAAAGTTGAAAGGACTGGTTTGTACCACTGAGTTATCTGTTATGTTCAAGTCTGATGTAATATCAAGTTAGTTGATGATAAAAAAAATTACACTCATTGCTAGTGGAAGAAATGAAACAAACAGACCGTTAACATGTTTAACATGCATAAATGTATGAAAACCACCTTTGGGTATTTTTTTTTTGTAAGATAGTAATTTTTTTTTTTTTATACAACTTAGAATGGCAAACAAGCTGACAGCCTACTTGATGAAAAGTGGAAACCGTTGCCTTTAGACATAAGCAGTACCATAGACATAACAAAGTATACTATTTCGCCCATGATGCTCCCATGCGTTGCCATTCCTGAGGACTCAGGTGTTATTCCTCTGTACCCTGTATTTTTACTACCATATCGCACCCTTCAAACTAAAACATAGCTATGCAAACACAACTGCTTCACAGTAGAAACATGAATGAGATGCCCAAGCAAACAACTTATGTACAAAGTTCCCCTCTGGTAATGGCTCCTAATTTATTTCAGTAATACACTTTTATTTGGTTTAAAAATCCTCTTTGGAAGTTAAGCTTGTATTTTATTTATCTTTTTTTGTTTATTGGTATATCTAAACATCCTCATAGATTTTTGAATTTATAATGGTAAAATGAATTAATAAGAATATAATGCTCTGTTTGTTATTAAAAAAAATATTAAAAGTTATAAATGCAACAAAACATTTCATTGTAAGAAAGTGTCGACTATAAATATTAGATTAATTTTAGTCCCATAATGTTGACTGCCACCTACACACTGAATATAGTAAGCCAAATTAAGATTGGACAGTTATAAAGCGACCTATTTCTTTTTCAGAAAATTGGTCGGGAATGCCAAACGTATCCGTACACATGTATGGAGGCGAAGAAGCCGCAGAACAAACCACTCAACCGGTACAGGGATGTCAATCCGTATGATCACAGCCGCATCATCCTGAAGCGCTGTGAGCGAGATTACATCAACGCTAACTTAGTTAAGGTAAGTGCACTTGAAACTGTTCTGATCTGTACTGAGATATTATTACGTTTGATTGTATGTTTATTTTTATTGATATGTTGGTTGTGTTGTAAGGATTATTATTTTATTTTTTTAGGTGTTATTTTTTTTGTGTTATTCCGACATAAAATATCCATGCAATGTATAAAGTTTATGTAAATACTTATTTTTTTAAATAGATGATCGATCTTAGTACATGTATATAATTTATTTCAATAGAACTTCAAAAAAAGAATTTTGATGTAATTAAGCCTCTAGATGAAATTATTTATAAATTTAAAAATTCTGTCAATTAATTAACTTTATATATGTACTATTATTGGATCAGTGTGCTATCTAAGGTTAATTAAATTTTTTTTTTTTTACATTTTTATTAAAGTCTATTGTAACAGACTACCTTTAAATGAGTAAGATGGGATTTATCAAGAATGTCTACTTGTTCTGTTCTTTTCTGAACTGACTTTAAAGAGGAGGTTCTCAATTCTGTTGTATTTTTTTAATGTTTTTTTTTTATCTTACCATCAGTTCTAAACCAATTAGTATTTTTTTTTTAACTTAACAAATATATATATTTACAGATTGGTCTCATAGAACCAATTTGTACTTTTTTTTTTAACTTAACAAGTATATATATTTACAGATTGGTCTCATAGAAAATTTATCAAAATCAGTTCAGTGGTTTAGTTTTTAAAATAAAATAATTGTTTTTGTCACAATTGATTTAGTTTTTTTTTTTCTAAGACAAAATCTTTAATTGATACATTTTTATATTATTATTATGGACAACAGACTGTGCCCATATTCAATCAAGAATGCCTACTTGTTTTGTAGGCACCCTACATTGTATTTTAACCCAACTGTTCAACCGACTTCAAAAAGAAGGTTCCTAATTCATTTACATTTTTTTTACGTTTGTTACCTTGGCAAAACTCCCATTGAGTAGGGAAGGGGGAGGTTTATGTTCAGCAGTAGACAGTTAAGGGGCTGATATACATTTTTTTATATATATGCGATTGTAGATTTATACATATATGTAATATATGTAGTATATGTAATATTTTAATCTTTACACTGTCAATCTTGCAGTACTAAGTCTGGTATAAGGTATACGGAAACAGAAGTTATCTATGGAAATGTAATATGTATGCCAGGGGGGAAGAGATTGTTAGTAATGCGGATTATCAGTCCCATTGCTGACAATATACCCTTACAGGTCGACCTCCCCGTGGTCCCCCTGGAAACCATCGTGCTGAATTCCAAGTGTATTTATCGCGATGTGCTAGCTGACCTGCCTTTTCATCCTCATCTGTCACCCCTCAATGGTGCCACGCCAGCGTATACCGTTAGCGCAGGCGGGGTTACCATTCCATTATCATTCATTAAAAAAAAATGTATGCTATTATAGTCAATAATGACGTCAAAACGAGTGATCCTGTGTCATCAGTTCGATATACCTACTATGAGTTGGCAGCACACCACTTATCAGTTTCACATATTTAATTATACTATCACTAGAACAATATTAATGTTTATCTATGTTCCGTGTAATTGGATTACCTATTTGATGGGTGAAAATGGTATGGTAACCCCGCCTGCGCTAACGGGATACGCTGGCGGAGCACCAGTGAAGGGTGATAGATGAGAATGAAAACAGGCCAGTTAGCCCATCATGATGAATTCATCAGGAATTAACCATGATAGTTTCCTGGGGGAACCGCGAGGAGGTCGACCTAGTTGGGTATATTGCTAGCAATGGGATTCTTAGTCTCTATTACTAACAACCCCTTTCTCCCCAACGTGTAATTAGATTGAAAACGCGGTAGTAACCCCGCTTTGTACATCGATATACGATGGCAGGACACTAGGGATGATAGGTGAGGATGAAATCAGGTCAGTTGGCTCACCGTAAGGAATTCACTAGGATTTAATCACAATGATATCCAGGATGGACCATTTAGAGGCACTGCTAGCAATGGCGACGCCGTTAGTAATAATCCCTGCGAAGAAGTCATAATCAAATATTAAAAATATGATGAGACGCGAAACACAGCCAAACGTAACTTGAACCCTCAAGCCATAACATTTTTTTTTATTTTGAGCATTCGTCTAAGGATGACCAATTGCACGAAAGTAACGTATTGGTTTTGTTTCACGTTCTAAATTTTATATCTTTTGTCTATTATATTGGCTGCCAATAACTCCTAACTAATATTATGTTCCAAATTTTACGGGAATCACAGAAAAGATCGTAATTCTTAATTTATTCCAAACTTCCGCTTTTGAAATCCATGCGTCTCGTCGTTCTTGAACAGGGAAACCATTGAAATAGAAAACTTTTAGATTACATATCAAAGTACAACATAATACCACATTCTAAATTAGACCTTCAGCAATACTACTGTAAAAATTGTATTCAATTGGCTGCAGTGGCTTTTGTGTAATGCCGGAGCAACCATACCTACAGACAGACGGACAAAATTTCTAAAAAATATTGTTTTTACTTCTATTCTTCTTAAATACCTCCCATGTCTTTTTATAATTTTATTTTATTAGTAAGATATTATAATTCCAAAATATAATATAAATAATATTTTTTTTTATACAGTTCATTAATTTTATAATAAAATCTTTAAAAAAAAGTAAAAAAAAATTCTACATGGCATGTCATAAATGTAAGGAAGTTTTCTTTAATTGGAATGATAATCATGCCTTCGTTATTGGTATAAGGTGATAGGTGAAGATGAAGGCAGGTCAGTTACCTCATCGTGACGAATTCCACAAGAAAGGAGTTATGAGGTTACAGCGGTTGCGGAAACCTCATAACTCCGTCAATTGTAAACCGATTTGAAAAATTCTCTTTTTATCTGAAGAAATATACTTACAGGTTGGTCGCATAGAAATTTTATCAAAATCGATACAGTAGTTTAGTTTTTCAATCAAAATAACTGGTTTTGTCATAATTGAAGTCGCTTTTTTCGTGGTACAACCTTAATTATTTGTTGTCTCTTGGCTCTTCATATAACTGTTATAATATTTTGTGTACATTTAGTAGGTATTTGGGAAAGTATAATACATAGACTATTTTATAACTTTTCCTTTGATTATTTGCTACCATTTATATTGAAGTCCCTTCCATTCCGTCTGCCATTTTTCCATCATTTACCTATACATCGATACCTATATATCGATGTAATGTGTATGGTAGTACTCACCTCTACGGAGGTGATTCGTCCGCTAATTGTTATTCGGTGACAGATATTTTGCTGTTTGCCTTTCTTGGTAGTATAAAAAGTTAGGTCCGTGGGCGGTAGCCAGATTGTGTCCAATGTTTACAAAAATATTGATAAGTTTATTCTGCTTACGCTTTGTCTGTGGTCGCAGACTCGGATTTGCGTTTCGAGAAACGCCTACGCATACTTTTGGCATATGTTAATTAAACGAACATACCTGCCCTTCTTGGAAGAGGAATGAAAAAATATACATCCTATTTATTATTGATACTGTAAATTACAGCACCGTATAGTCCGACTATGGGAAGAGGATTGTTGTAATGTGCTGTAGGGGGCCCTATTGTTAGCAATATAGCTTTCCCTAGAGACTACAGCATGGGGCTCTTCAAAAAGGACGTATTAAGGTTTCTTATGGGTCGGTAACGCGCGCGTGACATCGCTGGTGTTACAGGCGTGCATAGACTACGGTAACCCCGTTTATCATCAAACGGGCCGTATGTTTGTTTATCACCATAGTTGTATAAAAAATATATATACAATTTTTAATGGGTAATATTAGAATAGTTATCCCACCTACCTACCACCGCCTACGCAATCGGTATGCACTGAGGGCGTACCAGTGAGTGTTGATGGATGAGAAAGAATTCAGTTTAATTGGCCCATCGCGAGGAATTCAACAGATAGATACATTATTTATTCACCATTAATAAGCATATAATTCATGAATTTATAAACGAAACAAAAAAAAATGTTGGTGGTTTTATGTGCATCTACGGTGAAAAGGTACCAACTCAGCATTAAGCTTTTTTTATTTTATTTTTTTTATACAACTTAGAATGGCAAACAAGCTGAGGGCCCACCTGATGGAAAGTGGTAACCGTCGCCTATAGACATGAGCAGTACCATGGACATAACAGAGTATACTGTTTCGCCCATGATACCCCCATGCGTTGCCATTCCTGAGGACTCAGGTGTTATTCCTCTGTACCCAGTAAATTCACGCCATATCCCACCCTACGGAGTTCTCACAGCGCTAATTTACTGCTGGTACATTGTACCAATAAAAATTAATTATTGTGGTTTCCAGCAGGGAGCACACGTCGTAAGTCGACCTGATAAAGGTATATTGCTACCAGTAATGTTTTTAGACCCGACTAGTAATATTATCTTCCCTTCCTAGTAATATACAATGTCAGGTCGACTTCCTCGTGGTCTCTTCTGGAAATCATTATGGTTGATTCTTAATGTATTTCCCTCGATGAGCCAACTGAGCAGGCTTCATCTTCAGCTATCATCGTTCAGTGATACCTCGCCAGCGTATATTAATAGCTCAAGCACGATTACAATTCCATATTCATTTCGTAAAAGACTGATCTGTCTTAATGTTCAGTTCGTAAATTCCAATATGGCCGACACCAAAACAAACTAAATTAATCTGAGTAATGGCGGCGTCTTTCCGGGTATTATGCATATATTTTGATTAGTTGTAAGAAATACATATACTATTACCCACGACCTCGTCTGCGTGGCCGAGGTATGTTCATTGGCTAGGACAATAAGCAGCCTATGACCTTCCCCACCCCATATAGTGTATGCGTTTACCAAATATAGTGACTGTTATGGCGCCAACATGTAAAAAAAATCTAAGTCACTTTCTAATCGATATACGAGTATCTGTATATAATAAATAAAACAAAGTCGTGTCAATTACACCGTTTGTAACTCCAGAACTGCTGGACAGATTTGACAATC